GTATAAATATCTCACTTCACACCGAACTCAATCCCTAGCCGTCAGCCCCCCGCTGAAGAAGAAGAACCAGTCGTCGGAGAAGGGAGCTGATTGTTGTTCATCGCCGTGCCGGAGTTACTTCCGATCTCTAAAAAAGGTAAAAATTTTCTTATTCACTCGTAATTTGATTTTGAACACCGCCATGGCCAAATCGAAGTAAAAGGAACGGCGGATGAACCGAAAACTACAAGTAAAGCCCAGTGGCGTTGCCGCAGAAAAAACTAAAAATCGTCTCCGATGAGTCCCTTCTCGTCTCTTGTTTTGTGAGATCTTTCCACCATTATGTTCACCATTCTGTTTTCTATAAGTTGACCGAAGAAAAATGCCTATTCACGAAGATGAGCTACCGCACCGAAAAATCCCGCTACTGGTAAATTTTTATTTTTTGACTTTTTTGTCAATCGAGACTCTTTAATGTATTTTTTCGCAGGGATGAGTATAAAACTTGTTGAAATTGGTAAAAAGTAACCGAAAACGACTAGTCCGAGGTAAATTACTGCCACGGGCGGTGGTGCCATCGCCGAAGCACGATAATGCCCCGGTACCGGAATTTTGAAATTAGTTGGAAAGGTTTTTAACATTGATTTAAATTTTTTTTGGATATTTTTAGATACGTAAAGCATGTTTTTATCTCTGCAGTAAAATTCAGAAAACCTGAGAACCGCTAGTAGGCACAATAGAAAGTTCAGTGTTTCAGACACCGATTCGGATAAAAATCTATCACCTTATTCTCCGTTATGGAATTGAAGTATAATTATCAATAATTCGGTATTTTGCGTAATTTAGAAATATTCGAGAATTAATTACAGGTTATTAATGGAGACAGAACTGGTTATTTATTTTTATTTTCCTGTTTAACTGATTGTTTGATTCATACTGATAAATGATTCAGTTGTGTTTTCTTGACGTTGTATTATTTGTCTTGCGTTGATTTACGATTAAATTGTAAAATTAAAAATTAAAGGTAAATAAAAAATTGATTGATTAAGTGAATGAATGAATGGTACCCTTACTGGATATTCTGAAAGATAGTGGACGGATCGGGTACATAGGGAACCCTACCGTGAGCGTCGGCTCATACCGGACGGGGTATTGAGGATTGATATTTTTGGTGCTCATACTGGACGGAGTATGAGGGCGACCTGTTTCGCCTTTATACTGAACGAGGTATTGATGGATGGTATTTTTGGCGCTCATATCGGATAAGGTATTGGGACGGCCCGTTAGTTGACAAGGTTGGTTATTGGTTCGCGTATAGTGGGACATCCCTATGGACCCCATAGATACTAATAGGCAAATAAAAAGGGAAAGTTGTTATTTTTGCTTACTTGAATATGAGATTATGATGTTGTTGAGCTATATTCTCTGTAGGTCAGTTTTGAAAATCTCACAACGGTAAGTAAAAAATAAATGATTTTACTTCTGATAAATGAATTTATTTAAATTAAAAGTTCAATTGGTTATTTTTATTATTTTTACAAACTTTTATTTTATGTATCGGTGAGTAATGTGATATTTTTATTGGGTTAGTGTAACTCACCCATTCATTAACTATTTCATATTAAGAGGACCAAGACCCAGATTCCGATCAATAAGAGGGTTGTAAATAGTTCACCACCCAGACTCCTTCAAAAGCTAGTGAATGTTGTTTTAAGATGCTCAATTATTTATCTTTCGTTTATTTTTTTGATTTTTATTTGTTCTTTTAGAATAAACATTCTCGTAGCCCTATTGGGTATTCTAAATTATTGTGTAAGGAATGTAAACTCTAAGCTCTATTGTTTCGATTTCACATTCAATTAATGTTTTTATCTCATTTTCAGTTCCAAACGTTACAGCTGTATAAGAATCCCTATCTCTCCAACAATGGTGCTCCATTATAAAAAAAAGACTGATATAATGATAGAGTTTCCAAGAGCATGGGAAATGGAGCAGAATCTAGAAAATTAAAAGTTGTTACAAATGTGGAGATCAGTATTTTTTTAGAGCATTGATGCTTCAATAAAGCAATAATGACAATAGAAGAGATTATGACCGAAGAGATCCTAGAAGATAAAGAATCAGAAAGACCTAAAGAGGTTGAGGAAGACTTTACTGGCACTCTATCCATACAAAGAATAGAAGGAGTCACTACAGGGAGAACCCTGAAGATACGAGGAAAATTATTATGATATGATGTTTTGGTCTTACTAGATAATGGAAGCTTACATTCCTTCCTAAATGAGAAAACATTTAAATGGGTCAAGAACTAGATGATCAGCAGTAAACTACTGACAGTTATGGGTATTCTAAATTATTGTGTAAGGAATGTAAACTCTAAGCTCTATTGTTTCGATTTCACATTCAATTAATGTTTTTATCTCATTTTCAGTTCCAAACGTTACAGCTGTATAAGAATCCCTATCTCTCCAACAATGGTGCTCCATTATAAAAAAAAGACTGATATAATGATAGAGTTTCCAAGAGCATGGGAAATGGAGCAGAATCTAGAAAATTAAAAGTTGTTACAAATGTGGAGATCAGTATTTTTTTAGAGCATTGATGCTTCAATAAAGCAATAATGACAATAGAAGAGATTATGACCGAAGAGATCCTAGAAGATAAAGAATCAGAAAGACCTAAAGAGGTTGAGGAAGACTTTACTGGCACTCTATCCATACAAAGAATAGAAGGAGTCACTACAGGGAGAACCCTGAAGATACGAGGAAAATTATTATGATATGATGTTTTGGTCTTACTAGATAATGGAAGCTTACATTCCTTCCTAAATGAGAAAACATTTAAATGGGTCAAGAACTAGATGATCAGCAGTAAACTACTGACAGTTATGGGGGTCAACAGACAAAAGATGTCCAGCCACCTTGAATGCAAAAAAGTGACGTGAACTATACGAGACTACAAAGTCACCTACAATTTCTGCATCATTTCACTGAATAGTTACAACGTGATAGTAGGAGTTGATTGGATGAAACAATAATTGGGCTATACCGTACACCGAAGCATAGTTTTTAAGATACATTATAAATAATAAATGGGTTATTTCTTGCTAGCTTCAAGTTTTTTTGAGGACCAGTTATAACTTATTGAGGATGTTTGGAGTATTATATATATTTTTGTAGTTCAAGGTGTTTAAAGTACATTTTGTCTGAAAAAATTGTAGTAGTTGATTAAAGATTAGAAGTGTTAAAAACTACTGAGCTTTTAGCGAAAAAGAGAACAATTCTATGTTTTTTTAAAAAGACTTAAACAAAGAGCTTTCTCCCCTTATTTTCTATCACTATATCCCTCATCAAAATAAAATTTACAATTATCTTATGTTTAGGAACTTTGGACAATTCTTATATTGATAAAGTTTAATTGAAATTATTTTTTAAGTATTCTTCTGATATAGAAAAATATTTAAGAATTTTTTATTAAAAGATTAAGTAAAACTATTATTTTTTATTATGTTATTAAAATCTCAGCTTAAAACTCTTAATCTTGTAAAATAATTGACAGATATTTAGAGTTTAAAAATAAAATAAAAGAAATCTAGTTTCTAAATAGTTTTTAAGTTTAGATCATTATGAACTAAAATTCAATTGGCATTAAAGGCCATAGAGACATGAATGCTAGAAAAATGTCAATCCAAATACTTGCATTATTATAAAATGTTATCAAAGCCATCTATGTTTTTCTCTCATACCTTGGCCTTTAATACGCATGCCCATTTCCGTACATGGTTGGCATGAAATGTGCATCTTGGGATGTTGATTCCTCAAGTATGGGGATATATAATAACTTATAAATATGTTGGGTTACTCTACCCATCGCTCTATGATCTTTTAATTATAACATAACCATCATGATCCATCATTTATTTTTGGTTGCACTATGTATCCTTGCATTTTGAATTGGGTTTCAAATTCTTGATGACTTCAGGATATCAAGATAATCATGAATCAACTAAGGGAACTCAAGCACAAGTTTGGTGTAGAGCCAATTGTTGTCTTGACATAAAAGGTGTGTAGATATATGCATATTTGAATCATTAGATGGTGAAGAATATGTTTCCTTGCATAAACTGAATTAAATATTAGTCGTGTAGTTAGTTTTTTCCTTCCTTCTTAATTCCTCTGTCGAATTTATATTATCAAGATTACGATTGAAATCCAGAGATTCTCAAGCATTTGCATTCTTTCAGAGTGTTGATACTTTGTTCTGAGTTACAAATTATATCTCACTAAGGATCTAATGTAGAGAGCTTCACATTGCTGTTGAAATAGTCGCTTGGATTTCAACAGTTAGTCTCAAATAACATGTAAGATTTCTATTATGAACTAATGTTAATTGACTTATAATATTTATCTTAGTATAATAAAGAACTTAACTAATTTGTGTGTTAATGGAATTATGATGATTAAAGCGAAATAAATTTTTATGAACTTATTACGTTTTGAATAAAATAAACATTTCTCGACAGCTAATTTATCTTAATTAATATGATTATAATATATTAAAAACTCGATGTAATCTTTTGTCTAACAACAACAATTTTACTATTTGTTTGTCTCATATTATTTGTTTATTGCAAGTGATATTGTGTCAAGAAATCAAAATTTTGGTTATATAGCTTATACACAGATAATTTTGTAGTAGCTAATAATAAGTACAAAAATATTTGTATTTGTAAAAATTAAATTAAATGAAAATGAGGAAATACAAAAACCTTATTACGCCAACCAAGAACAAATTATGAAATTGCCAACTCCACAATGGTACACGAACATATCAATAAATTTCCTAATGAACCAACGGGTATGGTCTAATTTTTTTAAAAAAAAAAAATCCGTTCCGACTTAAAAAAATACTTTTTAATGCAAAAAACTGTGGAGCTGCCACGTGTAACGCAGGAAGAAGACAATGATCCTCAATATATGGAACCACGTCCAGGTTCAATGAACCAGAAATGATCTCCTCCTCAGCCGATACTTTACTGTCCCGTTCCTCTGCTTTCCCTTTCACGCAGTAGACACGAACTCTTACTCTCACACTGTCTCTTGTCAGGAAATTCTCACTCTTATAAATGGCTCTTTCTTCTTCTTCAACTTCTCTGGCCGGCGGTTCAATTGCTTCACCCGAACTCAAAGGTATATATACTTTTTACATCCACCTTTTCTTCAAGTTCTTTTTTGGTGTATCTTCAATCTTGATGGTTAGATATTCATTAAATTTTCTGTTTCTGGTAAATAAGTCAGGAGAATAAGTTACGCGGCTTTCATGTTTGCCGAGAACGCGCGCAAAAGTGATATTATAATGATGAAGTACTAAAAAAGTAATGGAAGTTATGAAAATGCGGTGATTGACAAATTCTTTGAGTTGTAGAGCATCTATCCTGAAGTTAATGGAGATTTATCATATTTGATCGTTGGATGACAGTGCTGATTGATGCAATAAATATGGTAGTAATTTCATTTTCTGAGCTGAGAAGGGGTTCTCTTGCAGTACGATATAAAAGGCTTGTGTTTTGTGTGAACTTGCTTGATTTATGCCATTCAACAGATCTCAATTCTATTGTCAGTGTATATTTTTTTCTTAATTTCAGAGAGTAGCGTGGTTATAAAGGAAATAGTGGCGTGCCATTTTTGGCATCTTGTAACAATAGAAGGTGTCCTATCGGTCTTCTTCCTTTATTTATTTGTTTGTTTTTCTTGAATGAATCTACCGTGTCATTTTGTAAACTACTTCACTGGAAAACGATAGATAAAGTGATACTATCCAAGATTTTGTATTCAGATGTGTCAGATTGTAAGTTGTCAATCTCATGTTGCTGCAATAATTTGTCTTTAAGCATATTTGTATTATTGTTAGACATGGCGACCGCATGTTGGTTCATTGGATGGGTAGATTTAATGAGCGTCCTGTAGAATCTCTGTGCCCTACGTAGTGCTTTTTCCTGAGATAATATTGGTGTTAGTCATAGCACCAAAATGACATCCCACTCTCACTTTTTATGCAAGGTTTGAGTTTTGGCTGTGTCTTAGGCTCCAGGGAGAAAGCCATCTCGGGTCATTTCTCAGTCTTAACAAGTGAGATTGAAGCTTTCACAATAAGAGTCAGTTTATCACGAAAGAAAGACTATTATTATTATTTTAAAAGACAAATAAATACTTTACTTAAAATCTTAGTCCTTTTGGCTACCCTGCAATTTTGTCCATGTGATATCAGAAATTTAAATTCACAATTAAAAGAATCAGGTATGGTTTAACAGTGTCAAATATTCAATACATGTTGCTTAACTGATTAAGAAGAAAAGCATGATCAGTGATTGTGTGTAGGAAAAAAATATTATAGATGAATGAATGTGGTTTTATGTTTACTTCCTCTCTGTCCCTTTTCCATGTCTGCTGATTTATGTCCAATCTCTCCAATTTCTCCCTTCATCTTTTGCAATGTTGTTTTGTGCAGCTCCATTATTTGGTTCAGTTTCCCAATCACTTGGATGGATGTTTGCAAAAGGGGTAGGCAATTCCTACCAAAGACATTGCATAATGAAACCAGTTTGTATGAAGCCAAAAAAGAATTACTCAATTGTTCCCTTTGCTGCTATTACGGTTGGTCCAGGTAAATTTGTTTGCTAGTTGCTACAGTTGAAACAAAAGTTTTTTCGTACACATTAGGGACTCCTTAAAATTTATGGTACTTATCATTTTGTTATTAGTGGGAAAAGTAATCACTTAGTCTATTAAGACATTTAAGGAATTTATTTAATCACCACTTTCCATCTCGTTTAATTGTTTACTCAGTTAGTCAGCTATGTGCTTTTTTATTGAAATTGACAGAAGTTGATGCGACGGAGAATGAGGATTATGAGAAACTGACAAAGGAGATGGAAAATTCTTCTCCACTTGAAATAGTGGACAAGGCTCTCGAGAAATTTGGCCATGATATTGCCATTGCCTTCAGGTACCTTTATTCACACTTCTCACATTTTCTTTCCATGAAGGTATTGATAATACAGCAAGTTTCTTCTTTAATTAAAAACAGGAAGTTATCATGATAATGGTAGACATTTTTTTGGTTAAATTGAGAATAAAAATTGTTCTTTGATCATTGATTTTCTATCAAACCTAATAGCTGCTTCAAAATAAATTTCTTTAAAGATTGTATGATTATGTATTTCATGGGTATTTGGCAGGCACAAGACCCAGGAAGTAGAACCTGGGTCAGAGGTTGACATATGGGAGGCAAACGGCTAGCTAGTGGTAAAAACATATAGGATCAGTTGAATAAGAAATTAGTTAGTGTAGTTTAGAATAACTCATTGTTCTCTTGATTTGTTGGAAATCTATTAAGAAATATATCAGTTAAGTTGAATACGAACTCTTGCACGTGTACAGATCACGCCTCATTCATTAGGAAATTAACATTCTTCTTCCAAGGCTTGTGGTTACTTTTCTTTACTGGGGAACTTATGTTTAGTTAGTTCATGTTTATTCAGTGGAGCTGAGGATGTCGCCTTGATTGAGTATGCCAAATTAACTGGGAGGCCTTTCCGGGTGTTCAGTCTTGATACTGGGAGGCTAAATCCAGAAACGTATGAGGTCTTCAGCACTGTTGAGAAGCATTATGGCATTCACATTGAGTACACGTTCCCAGATGCTGTTGAAGTTCAGGGACTGGTAAGGAATAAGGGTCTCTTCTCTTTTTATGAAGATTGGCACCAGGAGTGTTGCAGAGTCAGGAAAGTTAGGCCCCTTAGGAAGGCCCTTAAAGGTCTCCGAGCTTGGATCACTGGACAAAGGAAAGATCCGTCCCCCGGCACAAGGGCAGATATTCCGATTGTTCAAGTCGATCCCTCCTTTGAAGGAATGGTTGGGGGAATCGGTAGCTTGGTGAAGTGGAATCCCATGGCCAACATGGAAGGCCATGAAGTATGGAGCTTCCTTCGAGCCATGAATGTTCCTGTCAACTCTTTGCATGCACAAGGTTATATTTCAATTGGATGTGAGCCATGCACAAGGCCAGTTCTGCCAGGACAACATGAAAGGGAAGGTAGGTGGTGGTGGGAGGATTCCGAAGCTAAAGAGTGTGGCCTTCACAAGGGGAACATCAAGCAGATAGAGGTGCCTGAACTTAGTGGCACTGAAAATGAATCAAATGTTGTCCAGAGAAATGGAAATTCCACACGCGCTGACCTTTTTAATAGTCAGAACTTGGTGGCATTGAGTAGAACTGGAATAGAGAACTTGGCTAGACTGGATAATCGGAGAGAATCGTGGCTTGTAGTTCTATATGCGCCCTGGTGCCGCTTCTGCCAGGTAAATTGCCTTTGCAAACACGGAGCAGCTGGATGAAAAATTGAACGTCGCCTGTAGTTTTGCATGGAGTATTCTGTTCTTTCTCATAGTTTTATTGTTAAATTACCGTCATCAATTTTGAAGTATCTAAAACAATTGATTTGCACTTCTGTCCAGGCAATGGAAGAATCCTACTTAGAACTTGCTGAAAAGTTGGCTGGGACTGGAGTGAAGGTGGGGAAATTCAGGGCTGATGGTGATCAGAAGGCATTTGCCCCAACAAGAACTGCAGCTCGGCAGCTTTCCTACAATTTTGTTTTTCCCAAAACACTCATCGAAGCCCATCAAGTATCCTTCGGAGGATAGAGACGTTGGCTCATTGATGACTTTTGTGCAAGCCCTTAGGTAATTGATATGCAGTTTCTTCTAGTTAATACGGTGTCTCTCTTCTTATGATAGTACCAGAATGCACTGTCGTAAATTGTAAATAGCTTTCTTTAGAAGTTAGGACATTGATACTTTTTTTTCTCTTCGACTGCCTCCTTAACTTGTAGACATCTTAATTTCCGTGGTTTTGGGTGCTTGCAAATTGTCTTGGATTGATATTTCGTCAATCCTTCCTTTTCCTTGGTTCAAAGTTTAAGGAATAACATTAAATTAACCAGTAACTAAAAATTCTCTGTTCTCCCCCGCAATCATAGACATTTAATTTGAGAGCTCAAAAGATTCAGAAGTCATGTAACTTGAGAAATGGTAGTAGATATTAACTAGATTTTCAATCTCCGGTATATAGTGCATAATTTTAAAATTAGTAATTAATGAAAATTTTTAATAGATAATTATTATATATATTTATATTTAATTAAAAATTATATTTTATTTTTAAATTAAAAACTATTATTAATATTATCACATTAATTCTATTTTATCTATTAAGATATATTATTATCTATTATATATATTTGAGTTAAGATATATGAACAGTAATAACTAATTAAGATTTTTTTCAATTAAAATAGGATAATTTTTTTTTATTAAATTATGATAAAATTACATAACTAGCTTAGATTATTTATAATTAATTAAAAATAAAGTTCTATTTTAAAACATATATCATATTAATTTTATTTTTAAAATATTTCAGAAAAAAGTAAAGAAGTACACACAGTAATTTTTGGTCTTCCTTTTCTGCCTATATAATAAATTATTGTCATTCTTATTCTTTTTATGTAGAAGATGTTATTAACAACAAGGTTAAGTTACAGTTTGGCTGTTTGATCTTATTGTAAGTCAAATTATTAAACTGTTTTTGGACAATTTAGTCAGCGTGATTTGATTTTTATCATTTTGTATAAATTTACTAGTTTTTTAGGCTATTATCTTTATTTTTTTTTTTAAAAAAACTGTCCTTTAGATTTTTTTCATGTTTTACTTAAAAAGTTAAAAACATTTTGTATAAATGTTATAAGAATTTTACGCAGAATGACAGAAAAAAAAAAAACAAAGTCATATATATTAAATTGTCAGGTTGATTGAATAGCACTTAGTTTAACCAAATAAACATATTAATTTATTTCTGCTTTTTTTAGGAATCATATTAAATTATGTCAAATAAAACGAGATGGGGACTTTCCATTTTATAAACTTAAAATAAAATTTAAGAGTAAATAAAAATATTAATAATAAATTTGTGCCAAACTACTTTCCAGTCATGCGGAATGAGAAGAATATATTTTAATTCTATATTAACATATTATATCGAAAAAAACTCAACCAATGCCGTAAAAACTCTTGCAATAAAGTAAACACAATTTTTTACAAAATATACAATATTTAACTAAAATTAACCTAATGAATACAAAAGAACACATGAGAATTAACTATCGTTTTAGCACAGGTAATTATAACATTTCATATCAATTTTAATTCTACTATTCTATCTTCTTAAGTATGGAGTCCCGTACTAAATATTTCGATTTCAATTTCTATTACACTGCATCTTAAAATGAAAGTAATTAATATACATATCCCAATAAGAATAATTTAGAATTTAAAACTAAAATATGACAATTTGTTAGACTCCCTTCCCAACATTTTATTCTACACTCGTTGCTCATTCCTTCCTGCTAACTTCACCTCATCTCCACCCATGCTTCTCTCACACTCACACTCATTCCCATCTGCTACCTACTGTCTCTAACCTCGCCCCCTGCAACTGGTCGACATAGTCTGACACCCCTCTTACTCTAACCTAATATTCCATTATGGCCCTATACAGAACACAAACCCACCCAAACCGTTCGACAGCATTGCCACACCAAATACCATAACAACCCAAACAACTAATAACCCCCACAAATACCACCACTCGACATCACCAGACTCAACCGTATATTTCTTTTTCCCACATTCACACCACCCACTTTCCACTGCACCTCTTGTGCAAGTAACAACCCTTGAAAGGCCACCCACGCACACCTGTGCCGCATCCACTGTCTCACCACAATAGTAGACGCTCCCAAACACCTATCGACCCTTTAAGGGCCACACTCACACAACCGTGCCTCTTCACTCTACTGGCACCTCCACACACTAGCATCTGCTTCCCTACAACCACATCTCGACCACTGAGTGGCCACACACACATGACGTGCCTCATTCACCCTATCGGCACCTTGAGCACCAGCAAACGCCAAGGCACCTATCGACCACTGAATGGCCACGGACACACACACACAGACGTGCCTTCTCACCACATCGGCACCCCAAAATCCCTAAGTATCGGCCAAAGGCCTCCCAAACACACACACCTGAACCAGTAAGTGTCGGCCAACCGATGCCCTCATCCCTGTCCGTCTCCCTCATCTCTCGGTTTGCTCAGTTCCCCTCATTCCTAGCAGTCCTCTCTCCCCACAGCCTAGCCGACTCCACCTCTAACCTTCTCTAATCCTCCTCCTTATGTACTCAATGAAATCCCTAAATATCGGCCTACTAGAACTCCCCTCTCTCCCCTATAGCTCACGAATGTATCACCTTCTTCCCCGTTTACTACTCCCGAATACAATTCCGCCTCAAAGCATTTCCTTTCTCCATATTCCCTACACCTGTAACCATAGGTTAACTTGAAATACAGAAATTCAATACATATTGCCATAAATCAGTTTTAAAACTCCAAATTATTCTTACCTCTTGCTTTCATACTCTTCTCTCACCAAATCTACCGGGACCTCACCTCTTTCAGAACTTCCGATCAATCGCCTCCCGCACTCGCCTCCAATCACTCTCTCTCGCAATTCTCTCTCTCTCTCTCTCTCCCGCACTCTTATGGTTTTCCTCTTTTCCTTTTTTTCCCCTCTCTTTTCTTCCTCTCTCTGCCCGATGCCATTTTATACTCCACCCAACTTCACATCCTAACCGTTGATTATACTCATCCCAACCGTCTATCCTACTCCCTTACATACCTGACTATTACAAAATTAATATAAACTAACAAAAGAGCGAATTCAATTATTAACTTTTAGAATAAACTTTTTTGTTTTTCT